GTATAAGATTAATGATTTAATTATTTACTAAGCAATACATGGATAATTAAATCATTCCAAGACAATTGTGCTAGTTCATTAAACGCATTAATGAAGTCAAGTTACAAGAAGTCTAGATATATGATAAAAAGTTAAAAGTCCCATGAAATATAAGTTACAACCATGTGAATTAAGTTCCTTATAAGGAAAATAATTAAATATAAGTTTCAAAACTTATCCGATTATTCTCAATTTGATACACGTGAAGGAACTTGTCAAGGAAATCATGAATATCAAGTTAGAAACTTAATCAAGCTCATGAACCATTGAATATGTTTTAATTAATTCTTTTAATTAAAATCTCTAGATTTTAAAACTCATCCAAATGCTCTCAAATTAAAGTATGTTATAAAACATGTCCAGACTTGATTTAATAGCCTAATACAAGTGATTTACATGCAAGCTACAACCATGATAATTAAACTTTCATACAAGAAAAATAATAAATGAAAGGTTTCAAAACCTAATCAAATATTCCCGATTTAATATATGTGAAAGTATATGGCATGCACATCAATAATATCAAGTCGGAAATCCGATGGAGTAAATAGTACACTTGAAATAAATTAATTAATTATCTCTACATTTTAAAACATCTTCGAATACTCTCAAATTCACATATGTTGAAGAGTATACTAGGGCCTAATATAATATGACATCACATATTAATTTCAAGCTAGATAAGGCTACATAAATTAAATTTTCATTCAAGAAAAATATTAAATAAAAACTTCAATACTTGTCCAAATGCTCTCAATTTAATATATGTCAATGAACATATCAAGGTGTAATATAATAGCATACCACAAGTTTAAATTAAGCTATAACCAACCGGAAGAATTAAATCCCATACAAGAAAAATAAATAATAAAGTTTCTAGATTTAATTCAAAAGTATGTGATTAAGTTGTATAAGCATGAAATACATTTAATATAACCAAGATATAAACCTAAGACATCCCCTTCCTCAATTTGAGATGAAAATCTCAATTCCCACTGAAAGAAAAGTGCTCTGAATCCGACCATACCGTGGGGTTATGTCGAGGACAACAAAAGGAACAACTTTAAACTTTGAGGTACCATGAAAATCCAAACCCGAACTTGAAACCCAAACTCAAAAGTGGTCGAAAATGGATTCTAATAAGGGGGAAAGGAAGAGCACATCAAGGACTACGATAAACGTTAAGGCTCAAAGCAAATAACCAAGGAAAGAGAGTGAAGGAGAAGAAAGAATGGTGGCAGCCCCTTAGGCTGCCATGGCTGCCGAACAAGAGAGGGGGAGAGAGAGAGAAAAAAAATCTGATTTTTCATCTACTAACCCCCTATTTATAGAAAAACCCTAAAAGTGACCCTAATGGGTCCCACCGAGTCCGAAAAAGTGGAATTCGCCCAGACGCTCTCAAACTGTAAAACTCCGTGAATGAAAAGGAACCAAAATGTGAAAAGATGAACAACGGAAGAAACGGCGTCAAAAATTGAGTCCCGAACAGAGAGATATGCCCTGAACAAGTTCGGCAGCAACTAGGGTTCGAAACCGTAAAAGTGGGGAAAAATGACCAGAAGGAAATTCTAAGAGTACGCGACTTGATGAAAAGTGAAAATGAATCCCGTACGAGGATCCAGGCTCAAAACGAGGCATTTCTACAATAACTTTTATTAATTGCACAATGGCCCCTCCAAAAAGTATTAATTGCACTAATGACCCAGAATGAAAATATCTTCCAAAAATATTTTCTTAAAAACTCCTGAAATAAAATATTTTCAAAAGATATATATGAAAAACACCCCAAGAAAATAAAATGTTTCTGAAGAACTATACATCCATACCCCCATGGACACCTAGAGCAACCAGAATACCTTTATACAAAAGTAGAGATACGTATTTCATGAAAATCACTTAGAATGAAGGTACGTGAAGTCAAAAACCAACTCCGAATACAAAAAGTGAGGTTGTACCAAAAAGTGACCAACGGGGAAAAAGACAAAAAGTGAATAGTGTCCAAAAAGTGAAAATATGAAAATGACTCGGTCCTTAAAGGAAGTTGTCAATCCAAAGGAAAGAGTCTCGGAAACCATTTCCAAGCACTCGAGACGACACCTAGTGACGAGAAACAGAACTCGGAAAAGGAATTTAAACGGAAAAAATTTATCCATAAAATTTGAGAAAAAAGAAAGGAGTAAAAATGACCAAATCATTACAGTTGTACCACGTGGGGACCGCTTTTGGCTTCTGGGTCAAAGTTCCCTTTGTTGCTGTGTGGGGAATACGCAAGGATGGTTTTTTCTAGAATGTGGGGCTCCCAACTTATAGATCAATATAATGTCCAGTACCTGGTTGAAATGATGGGTCTCTTCACTGGGGCTGATGTCAGTTTGGTCTTGCTTTATGCCCATATCTATGGCCTGCAATTACAAAGGACCAATTGACTATGGGTCTTAGTTTGGGCTGGGACGTGGAATACTTTGCTGGGTGTAGGGTCTTTGTGCCCATATCTCATATTATGGTGGTTTTGTTTGGTGTTTGTCCTATACTTTTGCGTATGATAGTTTTCTTCGCTTGTGCTTTGTAGATATCGTATGGCTGTTTCTTATTGCCAGGACCAAAAAAAAAATAAAAAATTGTGCAACACCACCCCTGCCCTGTGGTTAGTGCGATTTAAGGACAAAAGTGACATCTCCGGACAATTACTCTCATCAGAAGTTTTAAAAGACATTTATGCCCTTAAATAAAAGGAAATTGTTTCATACTTATTTGATATTTATAAAACTTACCCAATGACATGAAGGATTGTAATATGAAGAGTCTATCAAAACTAGACGCGACAACGACCAACAATCCTAAGTATAAAGAAGGGAAAAACCTTAGTGTTGTCCCTTTCACGTTCTCGTCGATTACTACTACTTTGAACTACACTTGCATAACCAAAATCGACAATTGACAAGGCAAAGGAAGGGATGAGCAAGGTGGCGAAGACAACATAAAGTAAAGAGATCATGATGTCTAGTCTGCAAGGGTGCGTATTGTCGATTTAGGGATTAGGTTCGAATTGTTGATTTAGAGCTAAGATTCTAATTGTTGATTTAGGCCTTATTCTTATTATTGTGATAATATTGTGAATTTCGATTTGCAGGGATACGTACTATCGATTTAGGGATTTTTCTTGTTCATTGTGATAGTACTATGAATGGAGCAATTTGGTCTAGGTGTATATCCTCTACATACATATGTCTATATATGTAGAATATAAAGAAGGCATATCGAGAATAAAGAGAGAAAGAAAAGCAAGATCGATGATGATATAGGATAGAGATAAAGAAAAGATCGAGCAACTGATTTTAGGAATTAGGTTTAAGGATTTGGGAATTTTGGGGTTGAATTGAGTAATAATCCGAATATAGGGCGTGTTTGGCCTTTAACGATCATAAAAGGGCAATATAGTCTTTTTATATCATAAGGGTTGAATTATCATTTATTGAAATTGTTGGAAACAAGTTTTGAAAACTAATGTTTTGTGTGAATGAAACTTGCCTGCAATTTAAGTTGAAAAATACAGTCACATTACACAAACAACATGAATGTGAGTTTGAGCGTCCATGTATATCATATTAGATTACACCGTGAGTGTCAACTGTTGCAACGTAAATATCCAAGGGTTATATGTCATTGCATGCAGAGCCGCTGTATATTATTCACATTTGTCCGATATACAAAGATTGTTGTTCGATGTACAAAGAAGAACGGCATGAACCAAGAGGTATGATAGTTATAGGCTAAACCAACGCAACACTTTAAGCCATCGCATTCGGGGGTCCGTGTCATGTCTTGTGACAAACAAACAACATATTTCAGATGTTGGAATGTTTCCAGAACAAGACAATTGTTAGTTTATAACCGAAAAGTTGCATGGGTGGTGTAAGGGTGTGTTCCAATCCTAAAAGACACCAAGACTTCTACAAATACCCCAGACTACTTTAGTTTATCATTCATTCCACACAGAGAATTCACGTATAATTCTCTGCATTCTTCTGTCCCTATCTCATGGACCTAAATGGGTTCAGGCCAAACATCTAAAGCAATGAGTCGTATTGCAATTAGTTGGATTCATATTTCTTATAGTATAGATGCATTTTTGAATCAGAGAGAATATTATACGGAGGAGGTTCGTCGTATCCACGAGTTTGAAGTGCTGTTACTGGTGTATATAAACTGTTGTATACTGAGAGACAAGCGTCATGGAGTCCGTCAGAACCATGCGGGGCGTAAATTGTCTTAAAGACATAGTATCAAATACTAGTCTCGATTCACGTCTTTATTTTAATATTATTAAAAGAAGTGATAGGTCTTCCGACCTCAATTGTCAATTCATCCTCCGAATGCAACGTGGTTGAAAATGAGTCGAAGAGAAAGAGATATTTACGGGAATTTTTTTAAGAGTTCCGACGTGATCCAACCACATTGTACTCGGAATAGGAGTCGGCAATTAAGATCGGAAGACTTATCATTTCTCTATTATTAATTTTATTGTTTTATTTTGCATGTTTAATTAAATATTGAGTTAAATATTTAATTTAATTATTTCTTTAATATATTATTCATTATCTCATGAAATATTAATACCAGGTGTGTTTAAACTTAAATATCACATCAAACATATATATTTTCCAACAGAAATAGTTTACTCACATGATCTATGCATGTGTGATTTAACGGTCGAAAACAATCTGTCGGGGGGCCGTCCGGGTAAATTGCCACCAAATATCTAAGATTAGGGGTAAAATGCATCTGCGGTAGTTCAAAGGGTTATTTTTATTTTACTTTATCCTACAACTGTTACCCGAGATATTACCGGATGTGCAGATATTATCGTATCTTCTCCTGGAAATGTAACAAAGGGTGGGGGTTTCATTTGCAATTCAGAAAATTACAGGAAAACAAAAACCAACAACAATAAGATGAGCATGTAGAAGACTATGGAAAGAAAATTTTATATATACTTACGATTTGGAAAAATGAAACAAATATAATCAATACATGGAAAGTACGACCTACAAAAAAAAAATGTGACAGTTCACATCTCTTTGGGAAGCATTTGCCCTCCCCCTAACTTGGAACAAGTATCTAATATTTTACAAGATTGAGGAGGATCTGATTTTTTTTTTTTTTTTATGTGATTTGGATTTCACTACCTCACTTCTTAACTGGAGGAACTCTGTAATAAGCAGGAACAGTTGCAGGGAAGAACATTTGCCTTACTCCTTCTGCCTTGATAATAGGAAAGATTATTCCTGATGCACCCTGCACCGGACGAGCTCGTAATGTTAGAATACAGAATGTTAAATATTTTCCACATTTTATTCAGAGTTCGGTTTGACAAAAATTGTGTGATAGCAAACAGAAAAGGTTGGAACAGATACTCACCGAAATCAATCTGGCTCCTATCCAAATTCGTTTGGGTGAGGGGAATGGTAATAACAAGCGGCCAACCCCATATATTGCCACAGCGAAGAAATGGGCAACCAAGCTCAACGGGCGAGGGTTTAAACCTGACAGTAACGACACTGGCCCTGTCGAGCAAACACCTCCAAGACTTAAATAATCAAAGCATGCCTCGCGCATTTCCTTCCTTGCTTCATCAGGTGAAGCACAAAACACCTTGTAGAGGGCACCTGCCAATGTATTTATCGTGGATGCCACTGGCTGCAAATAAGAACATTGAGAAACGATGAGTTGTGAAAAAATATTTAGGCAATGAACAAGCACCAGGAACTTGAGTAAAAAAAAGTACTATTCTTGTGTTTTCATATGGCTTTCGAATTCAGCTCACCTTACGCAATGTGTAAAAGGATTCAAGATATTTGCAAAGAGTAGACGCGTCATTCAGGTCAGGCAGAGGCTTAAGAAGATTGCGTAGAACAACAATATCCGACAGTGCAACAGTCATTCCTCCACCAGTTAAGGGGTGGCGCATGTTGAATGCATCCCCCATCAGTAAGGCCCCCGGAGTAGGATGAGGAGCTGCTGGCATGCTTCTGTTTGGCATCGTCCTGATGTTTCCTTTATCAATTGCGGCAATAAAGGCATCATAAAGCTGGGGAGGAATCTGAAACAGACGAGTAACTTTGTTAAAATCTCAATCCAATGTGCTAGTAAATTGAACACATTAACAAATGATTTTGATGTTAATATGTGAAAACAAACCCAGAGTAAAACAAAATTAAACAAAATTAAACATAAAAAAGAAGTGCATCACGTATTATTTACCTGGGGAGCAACCATGGTTTTCAAATGCTTGGCCATTTCACCATTAGAAATGGAAGGCAGCTTTTGACCAGGTACATCAACCAAACAACGAATCTCGGTGCTACTTATACGATAAAACAAGATGGGAGATGGGTCTGCCAAGATAACATGTCCATGATTTTCATAAGGAAGTTCACAGTTCTCTAGCACCAAGCCAACGAAACAAGAGGGTACATCTACCTGTAGAGGATAATATAAAATTGTAGGTTAGGCCCAAGCGAAAAGGATAGTACAATAAGAACAAAAAAAAAAAAAGTGAGAAATTTCAGAAACTATATGGTCTCTAAGGAAACTTGATGGCACGAATCAATTGACACAAGCTAGTGATAAAGAAAAGTAACCATTTTAAAAATATTCAGAAGTTACCATCACCTTAGAGGTGCAAAGGGAGCGGCGCAAGTTTGAAAAACAGCCATCACATACAATGGTCAAAGGTGCATAAGCCGTCAGTTCTTCGCCATTTTTAGTCTTGTATTGCACACCTTTGATGGTCCCTTCTTCTTCAAGCAGAGAGGTGACTGTACCTTGCTCCAATTGAACACTACATAAAATTGTAAAACAAATTGTAACAATCAATAAACAGAAAGATAAATAATTGAAAGAAGAAAAGTTTGATAAGATGAAGCTTCTATGTTGTTAAGAGGAAATAAATGAACATCTAGAATAGGAGAAAAGATGTGTACTTGGGAAGGGTTGCAGCTTTCTCTCGCATTCTCTGAATGAAGCGCCCATTGTGAAAGCTCCTTCCGGACACATCCGAGTGAAATTTTTCCAACGGATAAGAAAGTCGAGTATTCCTTCCATCCATGAAAAGAGCATATCCAAACACCCGTTGAGCATCAATTTTCTCCACGCAATCTGTAGTGAAGAAATCATAACATTTAATACAACAATCCACAACAGAGGGCGAGCAAAAAAATATACCAATAATTAAATGATTCAGTACTTAATTATCAAACAAAGAGTTGTTGCATGACTAATTCAAGCAAATATTTATAAATTGTAACTCATAAATTTGACTTCGAATAAGGCTATGAACTGTAACACCTACCTTCCAGTCCCAACTCAATTAATTTGAGGTAGCCGCCTGGTTGTAGCAATTCTCCAACAATTCGGTCTTGCTCTGTCAAGTCTCTTTCAATGACACGCACCCGACGCCCATCCTGCAAATCAAAGTACAAAATATATTGCGATTAAATTAATATACTCTAAATTATGAAGCAAATAACATCAAAAACTATTATGAGATAATAGATTTACTGAATTATTCATGATAACTATATAGGTCTAAGTAGTTTTGCGTTTTCCTCTCCCTCTTTTTTCTGGTATATTTTAAATTTTAGTTTAATTATGAAACATAGAATTATCAATTGATTAATTAAAAATATAAGACATATACAGATGATAATCAAAATCTTAAACAAGAAAAAGAAAATGAGATGATTTTAGCTTACCGCAAAAAAGAGTACTTGATTATTTTAGTTACCTATCAGATTAATAAACCGTGTTAAGTAAAATAGTATACATATATATAATTATATTTATATATACACACACACATACATACATAAGCAGGATCAAGAATGCTAATTAATCATATAATCAGTGAACTAGCCTGTAGATAAAATCAACACTAGGAAGAACCTTAAGTGGTCTAGATGTTTGTATCATTTTCATCTGGAACATGCTAATTTCATCGAACTGATTCAAATGATCTAGTGACAAATTAGGACTTATAAGCCTCCATAATTTCGATTATATGCTTGTAACAGATAGATACAGATACAATCATACAGGTATGCTTAAAATACACCAAAACACACCCAATGCGAAGTCTGAAGAAGTTCGTATGCAAATCAAAAACAGATCAGAGACGATACCTTGCCGAGAGTGTGAGCGAGAGCCGCACCGGCGACGCCGGCTCCGACGACGATGACATCGACGACATCTCTGGCGCCTTTATTCGATTCACCTCCTCCGTTGACGACGGCGGCGGAGGTGGTGCTCTCCCTGACCTCTACTGGACATCTCTTCTTGGCATTTCGCATCACAAACAAGCTGTACAGCACCACCACACCGACCCATGCAGCCAAGAACGATCCCAACACTTGCTGATCCACCGCCATTTTCGAAATTCAAGTCGAACTGAGACAACGCCGAGCACCGCGACTCTCTCTCTACTTTCTCTCTCTAGAACTCTGTTTGTTTGCTTTGTTTTCTCTCTCCTCGGTGTAATTGCCTTATTTTGAATGAAATTGGTTATAACGAGTGACCACAAGAATTCTGGGGACAGATGCACCTTTTTATAGACTTACAACTCAAAAGGTTCTGTTCCAACTTGCTAAGCTCTGCTTCTTTTATATATTATTAAAGATACGTACATATATATATATACACATATATGTGTATGTATATGTACGTATTGGTAATATCACGGTAATACAGATAAAGTCGCAGTATTGTGTATTTAAATACTTTATTATATTTTATTATTATGGAAAGATGGGGACATTTTATTGGTAAAAAATAAGTTTGGTAGATTATGTGTATGTATATGTACGTACTACCAAATAAGGTTAGGTGCATTTAAAAAAATAAAAGTTGCATTTACATGTGATGATTAAAAATATCAAGGTGGGATTGTAGGGTGCACACGGTTAGGTTTGAACTGATTTAATGATTTTTTTTTTTTTTTGGAATCAAGCTAATTCTAATGGATTCATACAATTTGAAACCAAATCAAACCAAAGGAACCAAACTAAATCGTGAAAAACTGATTTGGTTCGATTCGGTTCCACGGTTCCTTTAACAATAAACCAAGTTGCCAACACATTCAGAAGTATTAATATATTCAAAACTTTCAATTCATTATTCTCTATCACTCTTGGAACTCAAGTAAATAAATTCAAAATTGTTAGTAACCTAATATATTTAAAATTACTCATTTAACAATATACATTAAGTCACAATTCAAGATTCATCCACTATATATATACATAACCTAATACATTTAAAATTACTAATTTAACAACAAACATTAAGTCACAATTCAAGATTCAGTCACTATATATATATATATATATATATATATATATATATATATAATTAGTAATTTTAAATGTATTAGGTTATGTATATATATAGTGGATGAATCTTGAATTGTGACTTAATGTTTATTGTTAAATTAGTAATTTTAAATATATTAGGTTACTTAATGTTTATTGTTATATATATATATATAATAAAAGAAACAATCATCATCTAATAAATTGATAAGAGTCATAAGACCTAAGAGAATTAAAAGTGAACCATATAATTGATAGTTGATACAAATTTCTAAGTGATTTGGATTGTAGGATTATATTATATTATATATAATATATAATTTAACATATATATATATATATATATAACATAACGGTTCGATTCGGTCTAGTTCTCAAATTATGACTAAACTATATCTTTATGATTTCACAAATTTAGAACCGTAACCAAATTATATTTTTATGATTTTACAAATTTAGAATCGTGACCGAACCAAATCATTAGTAAACTAAACCAAACTGTCTGGTCCGATTTGATTCGGTTTGAATTTTTTGTTTGACCGAATTTTTGTGCACCCTTAAGAGAGAGTATGTTTATCAAGGTCAATTTTATTAATTCAATGATACACAATTGGATATTTAATAAATTAATATCCTTAACTTTTCAATTGAACCGTTAAAAGTTTCTACTTTTTATTTATTTTTCTAATTTTTTAATTTTTGGTAATGGAGGGTGTCTCTACTCTTTTCAAGGGTAAAACTATTCCCTCCAAATACTGTAATATTCCAATATTTTAAAAAATTTATTAATTGAGATTAATTATTTTTATTTGTTTAGATTAATTATTTTATTTTAATTAAATTATATTTCGTAATTATATTTATTGTATTGATATATATATGTATACTATTTTACTTAACACTGTTATTGACTAGGCACTCAATCTTCTTTTTCTCTTAGATGAATAGGCAATTGACTGCAATAAAATTTCAATTGAACTCTGTTTGTTTGCGTTGTTTTCTCTCTCCTCGCTCGAATTGCCCTTACTTTGAATGAAATTGATTATAACGAGTGACCACAAGAATTCCGGGGACAGATGCACCTTTTTATAGACTTACAACTCAAAAGGTTCTGTTCCAACTTGCTAAGCTCTGCTTCTTATATATATATATATATATATATATATATATATAAAGATACGTACGTATATATATATACATATATGTGTATGTATATGTACATATTGCTAATATAACGGTAATAAAGTCGCAGTATTGTGTATTTAAATTCTTTATTATATTTGATTATTATGGAAAGATGGGGACATTTTATTGGTAAAAAATACGGTTTGGTGAATTTTTAAATGGTAATAACAAGTGCATTTAGATGTGATGATTAAAAATATCAATTGAGAGTTTGTTTTTCAAAGGTTTTGAAACAAAACGCGTAGTTTAATGGAGGAGCTAATAGACTGGTCAATCTCCTTCACTTGCACTCAAATTTCATGGTCAATTTCATTAATTTAATCACAATTGGATATTTAATATATTAATATCCTTAACTTTTCAATTGAACTGTTAAAAGTTCCTACTTTTTATATATTTTTCTATTTTTTTATTTTTTTTGGTAATGGAGGGTGTCTCCACTCCTTCCTTAACTTTTCAATTGAACTGTTAAAAGTTCCTACTTTTTATATATTTTTCTATTTTTTTATTTTTTTTGGTAATGGAGGGTGTCTCCACTCCTTTCTTGGGCAAAACTATTCCCTCCAAATACCCCCAACTAGTCTTAAATTCATTTGTATGCAATACGATTTTAGTTTGCTGTAAACATTAAGATAAAAATATATAAGGAAGTTTACTTTATTCACATTTAGTGTTATGTCCTAAGTCACATAAATTGAGAATGGAAGTGAGAACGAATTCGAGAGTGTGAGAGTGAAAGAGACAAAATTTAAGTTACATAGAGTGTAAACGAGAGTGAGATCGTGCATGGAGCATGAAAGCAGAGCACGCTTAAAATGCGAGAGTAATACCTGTTAAAAAGAATTGTGTGACTTAGGTCATATCCACGTGTTATAGAATTTTTTTATATTTAAAAAACAGCCAAATAATTAGAATAACATAATAAGTGTGTAAATTGGACTAAACTCAACACTTTCTATCAAAATGGAGACAAGATCGATACGATACATTATTTACATATTGTTAAATTTTATAAATATGAGACATTTCAATAAATTTTGTTTCTTCTCTTAAAGAATAGATAAGGTGATTTGACTCAATATTTGATCAATATGGTGCCATTTCTACCACGATAGTGATAAAAATTTGAGGAGTTAGAAATTCTTAATGAGTTTAGTTCATAAGATCTCATACCGATCTTAAGTTATGAATTTGAACTCCAATTTACAATAACAAAAAATAAATAAATAAAATTGCTTTTTTTTACTATAAAATAGCTTTTCTTCTAATTACATGTAAAGTTTGTTTACAAATCTCCATCCAACAACTTTTACAAAGTCATGTCAACTATTTAAATTTATCATTAACGTAAATTACTTACATAATTTCATTGGAGTCATTGAGTATATGCTCGGACTTCTATATAGAAAATGAGCAAGTCGTTAAGTTCCCATTAAAATGCTATGGTCCACATGGTTGTTATAGTTTGGTAATGTCCACAAATGTCAACACGAAGAAGATGACAATTACAAACATCAAAAAAAAAAAAAAAAAAAAATTCGTTTTTTGCCCTTTTCTTTTTTCTTTCCGTGAACCCTAGGTATAAATTTGTAAATTTGTGTGTCATACATATGGAATTGAAATCGGATTACCTTTTCAAAATATATATATATATATATATATATATATATATTTGAATTTGGATTCAAAACATAATTGTGCTTGTCCAAAGCACCATACATATCAATTATATGGTTTTGTCTTCAACAATTACAAAAATCCAAAAATCTATAAATATCATGATATGATATGGTTTTGTCTAAGTTTTTTTTTTTTTTTTGGGAGAAATTACACGAACCTCTCTTATTATTTGTCATAATTACAGGAATCTCCCTTATAATTTGAAAAATTATTTAGACCTTTCTTAAAAATAAAACTAACCTACACGGACCACCCTTCCTAGTGAGAGACCATCAAATGCACTAACAGATTTGTCTAATTTACTAAAATACCTTCAAGTTGTTATGATAAATGACTGTAGTACCATCTATATATGTGAGATAGATGATATGGACGAAGGGTAATATTAGAATTTCAATTTATTCGATACATGACATCAGCAAAATTCATCATTGACTTGGGTTGACCCTAACATAAAGAAGGTCCGCGTAGGATAATTTTATTTTTAGGGAAAGTTCGAGTAATTTTCCTAATCATAAAGAAGGTCTCTGTAATTATGACAAATATAGGAGAAGTCTGTTTAATTTACCCTTTTTGATAAATAAAAAATAAAAGTCAAGCATAAAGAAGGTCGATAATTTTATTTTTAGGGAAAGTTCGAGTAATTTTTCTAATCATAAAAAAGGTCTTTATAATTATGACAAATATAGGAGAAGTCTGTTTAATTTACCCTTTTTGATAAATAAAAAATAAAAGTCAAGCAAAGACGCACTTGTCCCTAATATTCAATCACTTCTTCAGTTTAGTCTTTCTTTCTTTTTTTCTTTTTTATCTTTTTCTTTTAATGTTTCTTTATTATTGTAAGGTAATTATGTCTTTCTTTCTTTTCTTTTCTTTTTTTCTTTTATTTTCAATAAATGTTTCTTTATTGTAATTAGGTAATATGGTCAAGTCAATGTAGAAAAAAATAATAATAATAAGTGAGCCTAATTTAACCACGCCCGTCACCATTCGCATTGAATCTTGCCATGACTTCATTTTCATTTTTCTTTTTTTCTTTTTCTTTTAACAAAAAAAAAGAACCCCACAAATTTGACTGTCGGGATGGGATCAAAAATAAAAAATTAGTATTAATTGAAAACCCTATTTACAACTACACCACCGACGGTAATAAAAATTATTAATATAATATAATAATAGACTACATACTTAGTAGTTAGCTTCAAAATGATACTAGTACTAAAGAAGAATGACAAAAATAAAAGTGTATTAAGTTGAAATATTCAGCCGCACATAGTCAAAACATGCATTATTTCAGTGCTAGATACATTTGTCTTGGTGGGTTTTTTTCCTATAACAAATATAAACACACACACACAC